TCCTACAAATGTAGATAATCTCCTATATAGATATAAGATATAGTATTAATTCCTACAAAAGATAGTGTTGACTCCTATAAAATATTTTTATTTTTTTTTATTATTTTTTTAATTGAAAACAATCTATGCTCTAGGCATAATAAGAATATATGCTACAAGTAATTTTACGTGTATAGGGTGAGGGAAGTAACCATCCAGTGATCGCACTTCTTTTTGCTTATTTATAATTTATATATAGGTCTTATAAATATCTTATTTTTTCGTTAATCATTAAGAAGATCCTGAAGATCTCTGCACCAGTTTCTTTTTAGACGTCGTGGTGGGTTTCCAGGAATCGTGTGAGTTGCTAGTCCAGATATAAGAGGGTTTGGGTAAGAGGGCAGTTTATGGAAGAAATGTTTATAGAACGTTTTGGCTTCTTCGTGTATAGTTTTAATTTTTAAGTCGGAGAGTATAGCAAAATTTGAAATATAAGGTGGGGGCATTGGTGATGGAGCGGTAATGCTGAGGAATAATGTGCTGTATGTATGGCTATTTTTATCAGGAAGCAAAGCAAAAAGCCAAAAACTAATGGTATATAATTTTGATTCTTAAAACCATGAATCGTAAATAACTGCCAAAAATATTTCGTACAATAATTAAACGTACCGTGTAATAATATTTTTTCGTTAGAACAGAGAAATTTTAAATTTTTTATACAAGAAAATATTATTATATCTTCATCATTTGATAAAACAAATTGTTCAAAGCGGTTTGTTTTTAATGTTTTTATATCCATTACATTTATAGTATCATGAACTTCGTCGATACTTCTAGGCAAAGGGGGCAAAATAGATTTACATGTATTATACACATTTCGTGTAATATATGAAGATCAGTTGTATTTAAATTATTTTCATTGTGAACATTTTTAATTTCAGTAGAAATAAACTTGCTGGGTTTTTCTACAATATTGTCTTCATTTACTTTCCTTTTCAGTAAATTATTTACTTCTCGACGATTCAATGTAGCATCTTCGTCATAATTGTGAATTAGATCTAAATTTTTTTTCAATAATTTCTTCATCGGTATTATTTGTGTACATTTTACATTGGCACTTATTAGTTATTAGTAATACAACGCCAAGTTTTTTGACCACTTTTTGCAGTGTAGTGTAAACAAATTTATATTTATCAACCATTAAATATTAATAGCTTTTTACCATTCTGAATGTACGTGAATTCCATTGCTGTTGTTGGTTTATAAAAATGTGTAATGTACGACTATACAAACTATATGATTAACTTTGCGACACGTTGCGATAGTTTTTGCTTTCTTGATATTTCGCAACACTTAGCAACTCGGACCCTCAGTAATTCAAAATAGTTCATGAGTGCCACCAAAATTTGAATAGTAGAGAGTCGACTGTCGTAGGTGTATTATATTGTACTATAATATCAGAATAGTAGAATACGTACTTACTTAACGACTCAGAATAATTTATTCTCTGGACTCGTAGCCCGTAGTTTTATATGCAAACCCGTAGTTTCCTGTTGAAGTCCGTAGAGATGACAGCCCTATCTGATTAGTGATTATGTGTTATATTCAAATCATACCTATTTATCTATATAACATATCATATTCTGGTTCTATCGTCTGACTATGACGTGTATTATATAGGAATGGAGCTACCCGAACTCGATCAAGATGAACAAGTAACAGATTTCCGTCAACATTTTTCGTCGGACATGTTGGTTTCGTCTGGAGTAAATTTTTCGGCTCTTCTCGATCATGATTTACGATGTGGTGGCAGAGTGCTGGCTACAAACTTAACGTACAACAAATTAAAAGAGCTCGCTGCGGATTGTATGCTCCAAAAATGTATTTTCAGGTATACCTGTCTACACTGGTATTATTATTATATATTATTATAGGTATAAAGGTATCCACGTACATAAGTTCGGTTAAAGAACATTTTTCCTGTGGCCCACACATATACTGGCAGTGGCGTATGCAGGATTGTTCAATGTGGGAGGGGGGGGGGGGTGCTTGCATAAAAATTAATTACAATTTGATTTCGACTTTGTCCAGTCTAATATTTTCAGACGTTTGGATAAGGTATTTGAATATCATCAACTTCAATGGAGGTTTTAAGAAGCAAATTGGAGGGTTGATAGTCTTGGGAGGTCTATAAAGAAGTTTAAGGAAGTTTAAGGTTAGGTATACGGCGTATATGAGTGTATTAAATGAAAAAAAATTACTTTACAGGAAAAACTCTCACATCTTGTTTATAAGTCGAATTTTGATAATTTATTTTTTATTTGAAAGACGAGAACTTTTTCTAGGTCGGGTCAGAGCCCGAATTTTCGTTTTACTTTAAATAGTGCTGGAAAAATACGATTGAAAAATAACAAATATTATACATTATTTAAATAGGTACATAATTTACCCAACCTGTTCTCTTATTTTAAATTTTAAAAGAATTAACGGAATCTGAATATTCTACAAGGCGTAATAGTTTTTCCTGTAAGACACATTTTTGTACTAAAATGCAACAGCTTCGACACCTTTAATTATTAACTCGTTTAAATTTAAAAAATGTGTTGCTAATCAAATTGACTTATTATTGTATATAAAAGCGGGGCCCGGGGAGTGGGCCCCGCTCACCCTGCCATAGAGACGGCCCTGATTTAACCTACTTATATTATTGATTTACCAAAAACAATGCCAATAAAATGTACAATATTTTAAACCAACACACAGTCTCCGATCAGAATCAATTTTGGTAAGTAATGGTATATGGTTGAATTAAAATGTAATAGTAATCTGTGCTCCACTCGAAACTTACTGTACAGCAAAGCCGCAGATACCCCCCTGTCACATTTTTTTTTATGTTGACTATGCCTAATCCGGCAAGACTTACCTATATAAATTTATGTTCTTGTTAACTAGATGACGATAATTGGAACTTGATAAATATTTTAAAAATGTAATAACTAATTACAATATAGCCATATGGGAATGAGGAGGGCCTCCCCTCTGCGTACGCCAGTATAAACCAGCTTTTAAATATTTTGACTTGGTTTACGAATATAACCAAAAAGTACACCGCTTATATGAAATCCCTAATTTTAGAACTTATTCGTCGTACCTATCCATCATTCCGGGTTTTGGTTTTCATTATAATATACCACCAAGTAATAAAAATATTTTTTTAATATAGGACAGGTGGACCTGAACGATGTCCACCCGAGTACAAACCCTCAAACGAAAAAGTGTTTTGGATTTATTTTGGCCTACGATTTATTGGTACCACTATGTTAGCAGCATCAGTTACAGTAATGGATCCTATTGCTTTAAGTCTAATTCAAAGGTATGGCGGACAGTTCGGAAGAGAAAGGTTATTTTCTACTGTAGGCATGGCATTATTCTCTCCACTCACCGGTTGGCTAATTGATTCTATGAGTTTAAAAAAAGGTATTCAATAAGTTAATCATTATAAATAATATTAACAACTTAAATTTAAAATATAAAACGTGTAATGAATGTTGTCAAATATTAGGTTACACGGATTATTCATCTGCGTTCTACACTTATGATATTCTTCTTGTTTTGTCAATGGTAACATTATTAATGATGCCGGTAGGCATTAAAATGCCTGCAGACCATATATTAAAGGACATGCTAAGACTTTTAAAATTGCCACATGTAACGGCATTTATTTTTTTTTTGTTCATGCTTGGAAATTGTTGGGGATTTATAGAGTCATATTTATTTTTGTACCTTAAAGAATTGGGCGCTTCTAATTATTTATTAGGTGAGTTTATATGTAAAAAAAAAGAGTTGAAATTATAAAACCAAATTTATAGGAATTACAGTGTCTGTGGCAACAATTAGTAGTATTCCATTTTTGTATGGTGCAGAAAAAATATCAAAAAAAATTGGACATGTCAATATCATTGTCATAGCCTTTTTTTCACATGCAGCTCGATTAATGGGTTATTCGTTTATTGAGTAAGGTCACATCGAATATTTATAAAATACTTAACTTATAGTATGTAATATTTTATTGCAGAGATCCATGGTGGGTGTTTCCATTTGAAGCTATTGAATCTTTGGCAGTTCATTTAATGTGGGTAGCTGCTGCAACTTATTGTGCTTTACTTGCACCTAAAAATCTTTTAGCAACACTTATTGGTGTTATTGGAATGTCCCACTTCAGTCTTGGTAAATAATACCATTTTTTTTACAACCATTAAAACTGAAAATGTTTAAAAATGTTTAAGGTCGTGGAAGTGGAAGTTTTATTGGAGGACTTTTAATTGGATCCTATGGAACAAGACAATCTTTTAGATTAATGGGATTACTAGGAATTTTAAGTGGTACTGTGTATGGTCTATTACATTGCATGTGGCTTCACAAGTTTGAAGATCAAACTAATACTGAGAAATCTGGTTAGTTTTATTGATTTTAACTGATAGTATTTGTGTCATGGGTGTATTAATTATATAATACAAAATATAAATAGAATTATTTTTGTTTGTTTTTTAATCTAGAACCATCAGAAGTAGAGTCTTTAAAAGGAGTTGAAGAAAACAATAAGGAAGATTTGTCTGATTTAGAAGCAGAGGCTAGACGTTTAAGCTTAATGATTAAATTTAACCATCGTGGATCTTTAGCATCATTGGATAAAGAACTACTACCAGCAACTAAGTCCCAGAGCGATCTTAGAAGTGCATCGTTGCAACTCCCTAAAGTTGACTTATTGAAGTCTACTCTTGAACTTAATTACTTACATAAAAAAGCTAATGTGAAAAAAACAATTTTAAAAAAAGAAGACAGTTGTGCGTCAACTCCACAAGCTAATAGAAAGTCACTGATAATTCAAACTACAATGGAAGAAACTAATAATTTTGAAAACAGCGAAGAAAATTAAAGAATAAATAAATATATAGTTGTTAAATGAAATAAAAAAATCTTGGTTTTGACATAAACTTACATTATATTTACATAGAATTTTTATAAATTTTTTGTTTTTTTATAATTCTTGTCATCTTTTTAATAATTTTTTCTTTTATTCTTATCATCATAATATTCATAATCCTTGGTATTATATTCTTTTCTGTTGTCTCTGAACTTCTTTCTATCTCTTTCACTTAATTTATCTCTACTACTGTGCTCTTTAGATGATTTAGTTTTAGAATCCTTCTCTTGACTTTGACTGTGTCTAGATCGTTTATTACTTTTCTCTCTATTACAAGATATATCTTGTTCACTTTTGCTATGTTTTTTTCTATATTTTTCTCTTGACCTTTCTCTTTGATCACTACGGTGCCTTTTCTTATCTTTAGATTTTTTTATTTTTTTATTACTTTCACATTCTGGACTTCTAATTATTTCTGGAGTGCAGACTTCTCGTTTGATTTCTGGAGTTCTATATGTTCTTTGAAATTGTGGAGAATTTATTTCCTCTTTTATTTCCTCTTTTATTTCTGTTTTAACCTGGAAATCATCTTCTATTTTTTCAGTTTTAATTTTACTAGTAGGTTCTGAGTTCTTTGGTGGTTTGTAATCTTTAACATGATCAACACGTAATATTCGACCTAGTACACGTGTACCATTGAAGTTATCTACTGCTAATATTGTGCTTCTTTGGTCTTCATAGCATACAAAACAATATCCTTTCTGTTTGCCAGTATCTTTATCCCGTACCAAATTTAGGTTAGTGATTTCTCCATATCTAAAATTAAAAACAATTCATTAATTTTTCAATAATTTTATGCGATTAGTAAATTATACAAAATTCAATTACTGAGAAAATATAGACATAACATCGCCTTCAGAAAGGTCAAAAGGTAATCCTCCAACAAATATCCATGCACTGGATTTATATTCATCATGCCATGAACTTTTAGGTAGTCGTTGCAATTCTTGTTCACTAAGTTTTTTCACATTTCTCATATTTCTGAAGGAATAAAATACATGAATAAACTTAAAATATATAATGAATACTACATTAAACAGTACCTATGTAAAATAATATTGATATTATAATATTATTTAATTAATGTTAATATAGTAGACTTAAATTAAATACTGAATATTTTAACTTTTAAATAAATATATGATGAGAAAAGGAAATATATTTTTGAATTTTTTTTCTATACATATATTTTAATAAGATCTGTTTTAACAGCTGTACATATCATACGCAAATGGTTTTTATTGGTGCATGACTTTCGATTTACACTAAATCACCAATCAAACATTGTATACATGTTGTACATGCAAAATTGAAACAGATCTTATAAATTATAATACTATGAAATATGAACATTGTGATGAAATAAAATATTTTAAAATTATTTCTGTTTTATACCTACAGATATATGTATAATTATATAGGTACATAATTAGGTTTATTATGGATTTATAAGTAAATCCATATACTTATTAAAATAACACAAATTTTAGTTCATAAACTTTGGATATTTTTAACATTTTTTAGTAAATTACCTGTTTACACTTGTAACTGAATGATACATACTTTTGTTTTAAGTTAATATTTTTGATATAATTTTGTAAAATGAAATGTAATAATAATTATAATTATATAGTAATAATTATTATTTAGTTGTAATATTGTAATAAGAACTATTTTTCCATTTTTAAAATACACTTTTTTAGGGTGTATTTTTATTAGTAAGCCAAACAGCAACGAATAATGATCTAAATTGACATTTTTTAATAATAATCATAGGTAGGTACCTACCTACATAGTTATTGTTTACTGGTAATATTTTATGACCTGAAATAGTATTCTAAGGAAAATCGTATACATTAAAAGATTAGTTACATAGTTTTCAAATAAGTTCTACCTGAACTACTTAATATAACCAAACAATGTTTATTTAAATTTTTTATTTTGGAGTTTGGACCTCAACTGTATACAGCAACAGTGACCCTGAATTCCAAACAAATAATATAGGTGCAGAAGTAGAAATGTTGTATATGTTACGGGCAAAGTGGAAAATTCGGACAATGTATACAGTGACTGGGCATTGTATACAATGTCCGAGGTAAATTGTGAAGTATTTATACAAATAATTTGCATAATATTATTATACCTAATCAATGATATTATATACTTATTTAATTATACTCGTTTATATGGTTATTTATATAAGAGTATTACAATTTTTTTTTAATTAATTAAATTTTAAATGTATTTAAAGGAAATGAAATAAAATATTATGTGCATAATGTTCAGTTATATGATATTATACATGAAGTTCATTTCTTAATTGGACATGGAGGTAGAAATAGAATGGAACACGAGATTAATAAAAAGTACAAAAATATAACTAGAGATGTAATAATGTTATACTTAAATAATTGCGAATCATGTAAAAATAAGGGAAGTACAGCTAAAAAAAGGTTGGTTGTAAAACCAATCATATCTTCTGAAATGAATTCTCGCTGTCAAATTGACTTGATCGATATGCAACCATAATCAGATGGCGATTATAAGTTCATATTAGTTTATCAGGATCATTTAACAAAATATATTATGCAGATTATTTGTATAAATACTACACAATTTACATTGCCCAATATACCTCGGACATTGTATACATTGTCCGAATTTTCCACTTTGCCCGTAACATATAATATATACTTATCAGAAATACCATAGTTGTAATACCAGATTATGCCTATGAGTGATATAGTCTCATATGTTATGCTAACTCATGTCATAAACATTAATACATACTTAAGTTTGAAATATTTTAAGTTTTAATACCTAGAACAAAATGTATAGATAATAAGATTAAACAAAAAAAATTTTAGTTATAATTATAAAACAGACAGACTTTGGGAAGGGGAATTTCAGGAAGCTAAGCCCACTCAAAAGTTTTGAATACAGGTCTTAGATCCCCTGGCTCTTACAACTATAAAGTGCATGATATATACGTATCTAATAATTGTCATAATTGTAAAATTAATTTTCAATAATTTGGAACGATAATAAATTTAATATTTAACTTCCGCAGTCTTTCACATCATGCCATCTGGGTTGCGATGAAAAATAAATGATATTATTTAATTTTTAACTACCAATTTATATTGTTATGTTATTAACAAAAATATGAGCAGATATGAAATAAGTTCTAATTCAAATAATTGAATGACTTTATAATTATAATAAATTTGACTTAACATTTTTTAATATTGGATTTGGTTATTTAGGTACCCGTTTTATCCTTGTGACCTCACTACTAATTTAGTTACCTATCTATCTTGATAATTTATTACGTTTTATAAGTAATAATACACTTATCTTACTGTGTAGGAAGAACTATTGCAATTAGAAAATAAAACGTAAAGCGTAAATGTATAATACTACCATACTAGGTATGTATATTGTGTAAGAAACGATAGTTTAAAAACGTTGTACTTACGTTAACGGATTCATTTTTAAAGTTGTTGTGTTCTTGAGTACTTTAGTTTGTAACTATAATTAATTATTAATAACTAATAAGTATTGAGTATTAAGACCTTAAGTTTATCTTCATTTAGTTCATTTTAAATAACAATTAATAAATATACAAGCGTCTAGCGACAGGGAATCCGAATGGCTGCAAGATGGCCGACTTCGTTATCATGATCCGTTATCACCAATTTTGTTATCACTTTATTTAAAAAAAATATATTTCTTTCCATTACCTTGTTTAGTTATTTCCAACAAAGTTGTATAATTTATTATAAACTCTATATAGGTACTAATTCGAAATTCCAAGTCCATCTCATTTTAAATATTCACCAAGTAAAATGAACTCAGTACATCCAGTACTTCTTAAAATATTTGTGTTTGAGTTTTTACTAATCGTTAAAAAATTTGCCTGTTTGTCACCACTCCCATTTTGTCCAACACTTTATTTAAAAACAATACATTGTACATGATGATGGAGCTGGCCAGCAAGGATCTATCATTCCTATTCTCAATTATTATTATTTAATTGTATTTGTATTATAAATGCATTGTAATTCTATTATTATTTTGTTTTCAATGTTAATTTCAACTAAAGAAATTTAGTGTTTTCAT